AGACCCCTCCGCAAGGAGATGGTCCCCGCAGCCGTTTCCGCCTTCCAGGGACACGCGCGGAGCCTGGACAAACCCCTCCGCCCCCGGGGAAAACGCAGGGGGGGAGCTGAAATTGGCCGGGGTGTGTCAAGTTCTCCCGCAGCTGGGGCCGGAGAGACTCGTCCCGAGTCTTGCCTCTCCAATCGGACCAGTGACGCAACCAAGAATTCCCCCTACACCCATAAGCCAACTACCGTTTAAAACACCCGGGAGAGCCAGTACACTTCCCCTCCCACCGCCCACCTGGCTGGGAGGATGCCGGCCCTTGTAGTCCGTCGCGCAGTCCTTCTCCTTCCTAACCTAGCGGAGACACCCTAGTAAAACTACCGATCCCAAAAGGCAATGCGCGCTCATCTCCTTGTCAAGGCGAAATCAGTTGGCAGGGTCTGGCTAGAGTGGGCGGGGCCCGGGGACTCGCGGGGCATGGGATTCAGTGGCCAGAGGATTTAAATTGCCAGAGAAGCCGGCACCTTCCAGCAGGGAAGGTCATTCCTTCCCTGCCAGCCGTCCAGCCGGCTGTCGCGGGGGCGGGTCCCTGAGCCAGCGCTGCCTCCGCTCAGCTCTGCAGAGCTGAAGTGACAGCCGGTGCTCAGAGTTGTTACTGTCAACTGTGTTCTTTGAGTTGTCAACTGCAGCCTGCGTGGGGCACGCCAGAAGGGGGGTTCAGAGGGAACGCGAGGTCACTTTTTACGACTTGTGGGGTCCGGACAGGGTGGGAGGCTCCCCGAGCGCCGGAAGGCGTCCGCGACTAGGTCTGTCCTGCCTCCGGATCCATCTCCATCTAAGTGACACCTGAACGGGGGCGAGCCCTTCCCTAATTCCAGAGGTAATTCGGCAGTTTGGTTCGTAAAGAACAGGCAGAAAGAGGATAGTTTTCTAGGCATCCAGGCAAAACTGGACTCATAAGAAAGATGTCTAGTGGGATTTTAGGACCCTCACCTAGGTACCCCCGGACTGTTAAATTCAAAAGCCTTCCTCTTCTCCTGTGGAGTAAGTAATGAGAAGGCGCGTTTTATTCCCCAGTGAGATCCTGGAAATAGTAACAAATAGCAATGTTCTCCTAATATGAGATTCTTTTCAAGAATATGGTGGTTTGGCTTTGGTTTGTTTTGATGATGAGACGGGAAGGTGCATCACAAAAACTTGGGAAAGACTCTTAAAACTTGTTTTTACCTCTTTGGATTTTTACTTCCCCAAAGCCTCAAGAGAAAGCCCTCTGTTGCATGAATACAAGCCCTAAAATTCTGACCACCAGTTATTTTGGATCATATACAACCAAATGAACGGGAGCAGCTGTGGCCTTGGTAAGTCCAGAAACTTGTAGGTGAGTAGCTCATCTAGAAAGGGAAATTGTCATGAGCTAAGTTAAAAGAAGTATTTAGCTGTATTTCAAACCCCTCCTCTAACACCATCATTCTCTATTATAGAAGGAAATGCAAAATGAAATAAACCAATTTTAAGTAAGTATAAGCTGTCTATTTCTTTTGAAAACTAAACATACTTGGCAAGACACACCAGTTTTGAGGGAGCCTATCAAGGTGGCATTTTATTTAAAGAACAATAACACTGTTCACTCTGATTTACAGCACTGCGGTAAACAAAGCCTTAACGACAAGAGGTTCTGGAATATATATTGTATTGTGTGTTCACCACCCCAATTGTTAGTTAAATGCTGTACCTAGCTGAATTATAAACATTGTTTATAGTGGTTGGTCACTGTTGCTTGATAGCCTCAGTGACTATTATCCTTGCTTCATAATTAATTGTGCAAGTAGGATAGCTTCAAGAGACCATTTCTAAAATACTCATCATGAAATTGAATATTTGAGTCTTTGTGTCATTGTAACTCTCTTATTCATTTCAGATAGTATTTGTGTCAAATGTGAGTACCTGCCCATTAGGCACAAGTTGGTAAACAATTATTATATAAACTATAAATGTCCATCAGGTTTATGATGAGATTGCAAATTGTAGGTGAAGACCTTAATGACAAGGCATCAGTTCTCACAGTGAGTATTCAGGAGCTTAATAGAATTGAATCCCGCATATTTTTAAAGGTATTTTCAATAAATAGTTGGAATGTGTTCTCACAATAGGCATTTCTACTAAACTCAAGAAAGCATAATCTGTGAAGAATCGCTTCTTCTTTTTTAAGACCATGTGTTTTGGGAGCAAGCAGAAAGACAGATGTTTACTACCAAACCCATTTACTAACAATATTAAAAAGAAGAAGAAAAGTAACAGTTGTTGAGTGTCTCCAACTTGCACTTCAGAAGTGAGGCTAGATGATTCACATGTTATCCCTGTTAATCATAGCAAGAACATACACGTGAGGAGCATTATGGGCCCCATTTTACAGATTGAAAAGCTCAAGTCAAGAAAGTTAAAGTTTTTAAAATAATTCCTAAAAAGTTATCTGGCTCAAAGTGGGACCCATAGTCTGATCTGAAGAGACTAACTTTAAACTCTGCCTTTTAGGCTACCTGTGAAGATTGCCTAAAACATCAAGCTAAGCAGAATAACTCCAAAAGGACCATAATTCAAGAGTTTCTGATATAGAACTGAACTCTGTGAATACTGAGGGGGGAAAATGAATCAAAATAACTCTTCTACATCGCTGCCTGAAGAAGTTACTTTACAGATTTTCAGTCAGCTGGACATTCAGAGTTTGTGCAGGGCTTCAATGACATGCAGGAGCTGGAATGACATAATAAGAAACAATGACGGCTTATGGAAACCTCATTGCTTGGCTCTACGAGCTGTGTGCGAACGAGAAGTAGATGATGATCGGAAAAGCGGTTATTCCTGGAGGGTAAGTTTAATTTTTGTGATCTGCAGTGTTATTAATAGCTAGAGGCCTGGTGCATGAATATTCATGCACTGGAGGGGGGACCCCTCAGCCCAGCCTACCCCCTCTCACAGTCCGGGAGCCCTCAGGGGCAGGAGGCAACCCGGGGATCAGGAAAAGGCAATGCCCATCACACCTCTACTGCTGCCATTGGCAACAGCTCAAGCCTCGGCCCGCCCTGGTTACCTGAGCCTCGGGCAGCCCTAGGCAGCCACCATCTGAGGCTTGCCTATGCCTCCGGACGGCTCTCGGCAGCTGGGGGGCTGAGAGGAATGGGCACCACCATCTTGTGGCTATGGGCACCGCCATCTTTGAGGGAAGGGCAGTCAATTAGCATATTCCCTCCTTATTGGCTGTGGTCACCACCATCTTTGAGGGTGGGAAGTCAATTAGCATATTCCCTCCTTATTGGCTGCGGGCGCCACCATCTTTGCAACAGCGTGAGGGTCAATTAGTATATTCCCTCTTTATTAGGTAGGATATGGTGGTAGGTGTGAACCAAACTCTACTTTCTGCTTGGAGGAGGTAAGATTTCCTATAGAGAATGACATACAGAGTGTGTTGCCTTTTGAACTTAAAGTTGAATTATTATTCTTTTTGTGCAAACCACACTATCTCCCATCCATCCTTCAACATTTTTTCAATCTTAAATTTGGGCATTTTCCTCTGTTAACCAGAAGGAAAGTGACTACTTCTTTTAACTTCACATTATCTAAAACCCCAGCAAACTCCATTGTTCACACTGTATATATACACATATACATGTATATCTATACATACACACACACACACACACACACACATTTAGTAGTTTATGTGTATATCAATGTAAAAACTTAATCTTATTTTCAGCCCTCTCAATCAGCTTCGCTGGTTTCAAACAAACTCAACTCACCAGGCAGCCACCTAGTACCTTTTGTGATGATGCTGGTTTACCTCTTTCAGGACACACTACTGAGGAATTACAAGAAGAGTCAAGTAAAACATTCTTGGCTAAGTGGCAGATTCAGCAACATAGATTTGCCTACTCTCCTGTCAGAAACAACCATGTGTCCAATGGATAAAGGAACCTGGGGGGAAATTTTAGAAGCAGAACTGAATAGATCAGAGATTAAAAATGACGGCAGAGTAAGTGGATGCTGCACTCCCAAGAACAAACTGGAATGATCCTATATAATAAATGAGAAACATGTAAATTTACCATCCCTCCACTACACTCACCAGCCAATCAGGAGTGAGTATGCAAATTAAACTGATAAAGATGGCAGGTTAATTTGCATGTGCAGGTGTCAAGTGCCCCGGGAGGCAAGGCTGCTGCGCCAAGCTATTCCCCCAGGCTCCCGGGACCTTCTATGAATATATCCTAAGAACACCAAAATACCAATCAGAAAAAAGGTATGCACCCCTTGGGTCTTGGGTTTGATTCCAGTCAAGGGCACATGCCTGGGTTGCAGACTCAATCTGCAGTACAGGGTGTGCAGGTGGTAGCTGATCAGTGATTCTCCCTCATCATTGACTAGAGGCCCGGTGCACAAAAATTTGTGCACTCAGGGGGGGTCCCCCAGCCCGGCCTATGCCCTCTTGCAGTGTGGGACCCCTCGGAGGATGTCCACCCCAGTGGGGACCCTCACCCCATGGAGGTTTGGCCAGCCTAGGTGAGGGGCTGATGGCTATTTACAGGCTGGCCACACCCCCTTTAGGGTGGGGGGGAGGTCAAAACTGGGGTGCCTGGTCAGTCTGGGTGAGGGGCTAAGGGCCACGGCAGGTGGGGAAGCTTGGCTTCCTCCATCACTGGAGCAAGCAAGCCTCCTGCTCACTCCAGCTCTGTGGCTGCCGGCCACCATCTTGGTTGAGTTAATTTGCATATAGTCGCTCTGATTGGCTGGTGGGCATGGCTTAAGGTGTAGCAAAGGTACAGTCAATTTGCATTTTTGTCTTTCATCAGTATAGGATCTTTCTATCTCTCGCTTCCCTCTGAAATCAAGAAAAATATATTTAAAATTGTGTTCGTAGCAACACAATTTACAATAGCTAAGATCTGGAAACAGCCCAAGTGCCCATCAGTAGATGAGTGGATAAAAAGCCGTGGTACATTTACACCATGGAGTACTGTACAGCAGTAAAAAAGAAGAATCTCTTACCCTTTGAGACAGCAAGGAGGGTCCTGGAGAATATCATGCTAAGTGAAATAAGTCAGTCAGAGAAATACAAGTATCACATGATCTCACTCATATATGGAATCTAAGTAACAAAATAAACTAATGACCTAGCTGGTTTGGCTGAGTGGATAGAGCGTTGGCCTATGGACTGAAGGGTTTTGTGTGGGGAGCAGCTACAGTGTTTTGGACAGGTTCAAGCCTTGGACTGATGAGAGGGCACAGTCCTCTCATTGCCACATCCAAGTCCCAGCTTGGTGGGCAGGGCCCTCCCAGCACAATTATAGCCAACAGCTATAGTTGTAAGCTTGAACCTAAGGTCCGAACACGTGGCCCCACGTGCCTGAGTAATATGGGCTTGATAGAGTTCAGGTACATGTAGTTGAATAGGATTGAAACCCATGAGAATGTTGTAAACATCTTGATGAGGCCCTTACTTTGCCTTGTGGCATCTGCTATAAAATAAAGACATGGCTTGTGGGAGTTGGCACTGTCTCTCCATCAGGGGAGCCATGTCCCACCCAGACCCAGCTCATTCTCTTGTCTGTCTTTTCCCCATCCTTCACCACCCCCTCTCAGGGTCACTGAACCAGGCTGAGCTGGCATGGCACATAAGGCGTCCTGGGGCTGAGTATGCCATGGCAGTGCCAGCTCACCACATATGGTGCCTGAGCACGGACTGAGTTCTGGGACCAAGGACTGAGTTCTGGTAACAGGGACTGAGTTATGAGGAACAGGGCCTGAGTTATGATGAACAGGGCCTGAGTTTGGGGGAACTACTAACTCAAATGAAAGGGGACTCCCTTGAGGAACGTGCAGAAAGAAAAAGTAGAAAACTAAAAGTAAAAGCTGAAAGCAAAATTAAGGTAGGGAGCCCAGGTTTGGTAATTACTGGGTGTAAAATATGGGACAGTATTTAGTAGAAGCATTTTTAAATTTCTTAAAGAGAAAATAAGTAGAAAAAGTAAGATAAGCAAAAGAGAAAGTTAAATAAAAATAAGCCGTAAGAAATAAACAGTAGGAAGTAAGCGGTAAACATTAGAAAATAAGTGTTAGAAAATATGCTTAAAAATAGAGAAATAAGCCAAACCGGTTTGGCTCAGTGGATAGAGCATTGGCCTGCGGACTGAAAGGTCCCAGGTTCGATTCCGGTCAAGGGCATATACCTTGGTTGTGGGCACATCCCCAGTAGAAGGTGTGCAGGAGGCAGCAGGTCGATGTTTCTCTCTCATCGATGTTTCTAACTCTTTATCCCTCTCCCTTCCTCTCTGTAAAAAATCAATAAAAATTAAAAAAAAGAAATAAGCAGTAGAAATAGCGGTAGGAAATAAGTGGTAGAAATAGAGAAATAAGCAGTAGAAATAGAGAAATAAGCAGTAGAAGTAGAGAATAAGCAGTAGAAATAAGTGGTAGAAATACGAGAAATAAGCAGTAGAAATAGGAGGTAGAAATAGGTAGAAAGTAGAAAATAGGAGTTACAAAATAAGGTAGAAATTTCCTAGGTTTTGTTTAAGCCACTGTAAAGCAAAAAAAAAAATGGCTGTGGTTGATGTTAAGGAAGTCACTTTTATTTCTGACCTAGATTGTAAGCTCTTGTGGCAGTTGCATTGTTTCTGGGCTTTGGTGATTTTTGCTTGTGTGACCTAATAGCTCCCTGGGACTTTGGGTCTGGTGAGCTGCCAGTTTTCCGTACTGCAGGACCTAGGGCTGCTCATTTCCATGAAGCAGCAGCTGAAGAAAGAAGCTGAGGAAGGGACCATACTTCCACCGTGTGGACGGGGTTGATTTGACTGGGACTAGTGCCGGCTCAGTCCCAAAGCCAACCATCTAAGCAGCCTGACCCAGAGGACCAGTCTTACATCAGTGACATCTTTGCATCGGTGGCATTTTACTATACAAGGGGCCAAGGTATCAACATGGAGTCAGCTGAAGAAGATGGCGACTGAGGCCAAACAGATGTTAAAAAAGCAGAGAGGAAGTTACTCTCTTAAAGTCTTGTGCAGCCAAATCTGAGGAATCTGAGTAGGTATAAACCAGCAGCAAAAGAAGCTTTTATTTTGAAGAAAATGTTAACGTGTTTGTAGTTTGGTTTTGAAGCATGGTGGCAACCATGTTTGGTGGGAATTGCTGTTTAATATTTTAACCCTGCTAACTTGGCTTCTGTCATTATTTGCTTGCTAACATAATAGAAAAGTTATTTTGATTTTCTGAATTATATAAATCATCCCATTCGATTGAATACCCTATTGATTGTAATGTGAATACCCCATTGGTTATGGTCATACTGGTATTAGAAACCACATTCTCTGTACCTGGAGGCCAGGACTGCACAATTACTCTAAATTGCCTCAGTGGCTCCAGATAATGTGTTTCCGTTGACTCAGTGGTCCCAAAACCCAATGGCTACAGATAATGTGTTTCTGTCAACTCAGTGGTCCCAAGACCCGAAACTATAATTAATCTTTGTAGATAACTAATTGGCTCAATGTAGCTTCTGTAACAAACTGCTTTTTTTTGCAAACCAGGTTCCTCAATCCAAACCCCGAGATGTAATCAATACCTTTGTGATTTTTGCGTATATAAATCTGGTGTTGGGGATATGTAAGCACTACATGATTTGGAGAGCAGAATGCCCCCTCATAGTCCTGGATTTGAAATAAATGTGACTCCTTAATTCAACTTCTTGAGGCGTCCTTGTGTTTCATGGGGCACATTACAACAGTTTTGCATCGACATTGTTTTGTTATTGTTTTATTAATAGCCAGAGTTTTGTTCTCTCTTGTTGCTGTATTAACATTGCTGTGTTTATGGTTTTGTTAATAGCCAGAAGTTTGTTTTGATGTTTTGATTATGCTGAATAATTTGTTTAGACAAATATATATATATTTGTTTAATCGTCACTTTATTTTTTTATTAAATCTTTATTGTTCAGATTATTACAGCTGTTCCTCTTTTTCCCCCATAGCTTCCCTCTAACCAGTTCCCACCTCAACCTCTGCCCTTACCCCTGCCACCCACTGTTCTCATCCATAGGTATACGATTTTTGTCCAGTCTCTTCCCACACCCACACACCCCTTTCCCGCCAAAGAATAGTCAGTCCACTCCCTTTCTATGCCCTTGATTCTATTATATTCACCAGTTTATTCTGAGCGTCCCACCCAGACCCAGCTCATTCTCTTGTCTGTCTTTTCCCCGTCCTCCACCACCCCCTCTCAGGGTCACTGAACCGGGCTGAGCTGGCTCGGCACATCAGGCGTCCTGGGGCTGAGTATGCCATGGCCGTGCCGGCTCACCACAGTCTTGGGTTTGATTCCAGTCAAGGGCACATGCCTGGGTTGCAGGCTCAGTAGGGTGGGGGACTTGGTGGGGGGGCAGGGGAGCTGGGTGTGTGTGCAGGTGGCAGCCAATTAATAATTCTCTCTCATCATTGATGTTTCTATCTTTTTCTCTCCCTTCCCTCTGAAATCTATAAAAATATATTTAAAATTGTGTTCATAGTAGCACAATTTACAATAGCTAAGATCTGGAAACAGCCCAAGTGCCCATCAGCAGGTGAGTGGATAAAAGTTATGGTACACTTATACCATGGAATACTATGCTGTAATAAAAAAGAAGAATATCTTACCCTTTGAGATAGCATGGAGGGACCTAGGGAGTATCATGCTAAGTGAAATAAGTCAGTCAGAGAAAGAGAAGTATCACATGATCTCACTCATGTGGAGTCTAAGTAACAAAATAAACTAATGAACAAGTGGATCCGGTGACATGGAAGCATGGAACAGAGTGCAAAATCTCAGAGGGAAGACGAGGGAGGGTGGATGAGTGAAAAGTAATCAACCGAAGACCTTGTATGCATATATGCATAACCCATGGACACAGACAATAGGGTGGTGAAGGTCTGGAGTGGGGTGCAGGGGTGAGCTGGAGGGGGTCAATGGGGATAAATATAAAATAAATTTATATTTTAATAACTTTAATTTTTTTCATTTCAGTGAAATCAGACTGAATTG